CTTTTTACATTAAAAATCTAATTTTCCATTTACGAGGAATTTCATAAGAAAAGGATGTAGGTCGGTATGGTGGGCATTTTTAGTAAAAGTTCTGCTCTGATTTGGGTATTTTTCAGACGGAGAAGTCCAAGGAGTTAAAAGATTACCCATTTTTATTGCCGAAATGCTACGACACAATCAAAGTGCCTCGTGTGCTTGAAACATACAGCGATGTAGCTGATGTGCAAGTGCTCCGATCTGTGTCCAAATGGTCTTCGCTTGTTAACTGGACAGAAGACAGCATTCAACAGGCTTGTTCTAATGACCATTACGAAATTCCATATATTATCACTTATAGCGTGAAATCAGGCCATTGAAGATTGCGCAGAAAGTAGTTAGAGACATTTATGCTATTGTCGTTTTGTCGCCAAAAAGAGTGAATAAATGAACAGGATTTCTCATTGGTGAAGACAAATCTTTCCATTTGGGCATGAAAGCAGCGCTGGCAGCAAGTTTGTTGGTATTTATATAAATGCAACCCAGACGTATGTGAACGCTGATTTTAACCCAGACTAGGACGCACAGGCAGGCCGATACGGTCATACATTTCTTCACTATTTCCTGCTCTGGCAGGATCGCAAGGAATCACAGTAGCTAGAATTAGTGACATAATGGCCCACGAAGTTCAGGAATTTAATTGTACAACTATGTGGCATGCCAGTGGTAGCTGTCGGCTTCAGTAACTCGACAAACAGAAAGTTGTTGGTACACGAAAAAGACCCACAAGAAGAATTTAATTTGAAATCTTTTAGTCGCACACGAGTAGGGAACATTCCCTTAAAATTACAGCCTGCCAGCTTTTCTTGTTCCTATGTTAGCAATTTTCCTGCCAAGATTTCAAATGCTCCTGCGTGAGTCCCGGACATACATGAGCAACTATATTTGAAATTTTTAATCATGCATGGGTAGGTGACATTTTTCTAAAATCTCAGTCTTCAAGTTTTTCTCGTTCCCGATTTAGAATTTTTCCCTCCAAGACTTTTACTTATCCGTACATGAGACGTAGTGTTCCTGGGATTGCATATGGCCAAGGAGCACACTGACATAATTTTAAAACCAAAGTCTGTGTGGTTGACGGGTAAAAATACCCGGGCAAACAAACACACACACACACACGAACAAACAAACAAACACAAACATACGTACACAGACAGAGTCGTCGCAATATGTGCTTTTGCAGCCTATTGCAATACTCTAGCGCTGCATGGTAAAAACGCATAAAATGGAGCATTGGGCTTGGCGTGGGAACATGCTCCAGGAATTTCAGCTTCCTAGCTTCACCGGCTGCTGAGTTGAAAGTGGGTGACAACGAGAACACACACACACACACACACACA